TTTTTTTTTTTTTTTTTTGAAGTTTTTAATTTAATAGCCTATTAAACACAATATTCAAAGTTTAGAAATTAAACTTGTAATTTAAACTTGCAATTTAACCAATAATATACCACAAAATAAAAAATATAATCAATAATTATTTATGCTAAATATGTATTTTATTCCCTAATGTTTGAGTTTTTTTTAATAATTTAGTTTTCAATATAATTTGAGGATATATGCCACATTTAAAATTCTCCCTCACTTATCTTTAGCTTCAGAAAAAATAATCACATCAATATTTATAATCATTCAATTTTAATATTTATTCACGAGAATTGAATGATAAAAAAAAAAACATAGATTTTGTTTTTTTTCTCTTTTAAATTTGGGCTTTGGATCTAAAGAGATGGCCCATCGGGCCGACTAATGCATCACAATGTATGTAAAGAGAAGCTTGCATCTCGCGTCTTTCGATTCCCATTTTCCATTGTTCTTGTTCCAACGCCTCCTCAAATTCTCTAAACCCAAACTAAAATGGCCAGAGATCGAAATGGTGAGCTATCTAATAAGAGAGGAAGTTCCGACAACGACGAGGACAGCGGAGGAGGAGTAGGAGGAGAAGACAACGAGGCTCCGTCGAAGAGAAATTCTGACAGGAGTTCCGATGTGGAAGAAGGGCGAAAACGCAGCAAATCAAGAAGAAAATCGCGGGACAGTTCGGATTCCGACGAAAAACATGACAGGAAACGCGGGAAGAGTTCGGTAAGAAAGGGTAAGTCCCGCAGACGATACAGTAGTAGTGAGGAGGATTCTGATTCCGAGGATGCGGAATCTGAAAGCTCGGAGTCTGATTCGGATTCGGAGCACTCCGACGCGGAATCAGCGTCTAATAGTTCGGGTTCGGAAGGCGAGAGCGAGGAGGAGAGGAGGAGGAGGAAGAGGAAGGAAAGGAGGAGAAAAAGAGAAAAGGAGGAGAGAGAGCGGAAGAGGAGGAGAAAAGAGAAGGAGAAGAAGAGAAGGAGAAAAGAGAAGGAGGAAGAGAAACGAAGGAAGGAAAAGAAAAAGAAGGAGAAGAAGGAACGGGGAAAGAAGGGGGCTGTGACGAATTCGTGGGGAAAATACGGGATTATCAAAGAAACTGATATGTGGTATGTAAACAATGAATTCCATATATATTTCTATATTGGTTCATGGTTTTTTCTGCACAACCATTGTTTTACTCCTTGCAACTTGTTCTTACACTATATTTCTAGGAACAAGCGACCAGAGTTCACTGCATGGCTGGCTGAAATTAAAAAGGTAAATTGGTTTATGCTCAATATTTTCCATGAGCTCAGTAATACTTTCTTATGACATTTGTTAGCTCTAGTATTATTCTGTTATTGCCATTATCAAGGTTTTGGAATAGATGATAGCTCTATGCTATGGTTGAATTTCCTTCAATACAATGGTGCCAACCTCAGTATTTCTTCAATATATGGATCTGAATTAACTAAAACCAATTATTTTTTACGTTACTCAATCCAGATAACCCTCTTTTGCTGTTTTTGGACTCAAATTTCTTAGTAGTGTGAATAGTCTTTTGATTGAACATGAGAGTCTACCAAGGTGGGAGGAATTTATGATCTAACTGCTCTCGCAGGTGTGGTATTTTTACTAATTATATTTCTTTGAATGTTCCATTGCACATAGGTGAACTTGGAAAGTCTAGCTAATTGGGAAGAGAAGCAGATGTTTAAGGAGTAAGTAGATGTACTGATCGTGTTTAGTTTACTCCTCAAAATCATGACTCTTGAAGATAGCTGTTTATATTTATTTCTTGAATTGTCACTTAAGTCTATATTTGAAAAAAATAATAAAAATTGTAAATAACTTTAATCTTGCTCATCTTGTGATGATTGTTTGTACAGATTCATGGAGGACCATAACACGGCCACTTTCCCATCTAAAAAGTAAGGTTCTGAGTGCTTTTTTTTGTATGTGCAGCTGATATATTATTGTTTGAGAAGGTCGTGTGAAAGAAATGGACAAAAAATGCTAGATAAAACATTACTGTGGTCAATATTTCTTGTAGGGTTGTATAATACTTTAAATTCGAGCTCTATTTTTATCTTGTGTAAGAACTGAAGTTTTTCTTTGAAGATCAACTCATCTACTCGTGTTAATCCTGCTTTCACTTATTAGATGGGTATTCATTTTGTTGCTCGAAAGGAAGCCATCCATCATTCGATCCACTTGTATTTTTATGTTATGTGATTTCAGGTACTACAATCTTGATGCCTATTACCAGCATAAAATGCTAAAAGATATGAAGAAAGGCCACAAAAAGATTTTGGCTGGGGAACGCACAGTGTTTGATGATGAAGAACAGAGGAGGTACTTCCTTCTTTTCTTCCTCTTTCCTTTTGAGGGCCTCATATTTGGAAATTTTGTTCATTTGGTGGTTGAGCATGGATGATGATGATGGAGCTTTACCACTCTTCAAGAATTCACAAGGAAATTCTTTATTCAGTTAAAGTAATTCAAGCTTAAGAAACTATCAACGAACTAACTAAAAAACCGACAATTACACCAAAAAGCTGTTTAAGAAACTAGCAAACTATTACTTAAATTAATTAACCAATTCTCTAATTCACTACATCATTTGGAGTGATGTCTTGTTCCTGGAGTTAATATGTAACTATTATTAAATTGTATCATGTGGTCTATGTTGACTTCCCCCACGGCCACACCCCTAAAAAGAAAATAAAACAATGAAAAGAAGAATAGAAAGACAGAGATGGTCAAGTTGTTTCGAATATTATCTGCTGGTTCAGTTAATAATTTCACTCGACTCTTCAGGCAAGAACTACTCGTGGAACGTGAAAAACACAAGGAGGAACAAGTGGAAGCCCTAAAGCGCTCGATGCAGACTGGAATGGTCAGTGATTTTAGTCTCTGGAAGTAGGTTTTGGATTATCAAATTTTATTGCAAGTTTCTAACATCCATACTTCACAGGCACAAGCAATGAAAGAACAAGCTCGACTGAGGGAGGAGATGGCTTACCAGTATAAGCTTGGAAACTTCGAGGTAGGCATAAATGTGAACAAAGCTCTCTTGTAGTTTCATTTGGATGCAATCTCAAGGCTGTTCTTGAATTTATCCTAGGCTGCAGCTGCCATCCAGCGAAGATTGGACCCAGATGTTGCCCTGTAAGAGAAGAGTCTGTGTTTTGCTCGAACGTCTCGTGTTTGGTACTACATGGTTCGACACTGCAAGAACTCTGAAGTCCTTGAATGTCGTCTTTGGATTTGCAACAGAGGGAAGCTCTCCAACCCAATGATTTGGAATTACCTTGGTAAATTTGTAGCAACCATCCCATGATAGTACATGAGTGGTTTTAACTTGTCATAACGTTTTGTACGGTAAAAAGAAAAACATTTCCGTTGCCATAATTAATCGTAGTAATAGTTAGCACAGCCAAAATGTGGATCATGAATTTGAGGGTGTGTCTTCCTCAGAAATGGAGTTTTGTTGGCATATTTAGCAAATTTCTTTTGTGCAAAGGTCTGAACAAATGGGTAGGAATTTTTCTATTTTTTTTTTTAGTTTTTCTTATATTCTACAATGTGTTGCACAATAATTATTATTATTGATAGCAATCTAGTAGATATATAATTTTGTTATTGATAGCAATCTAGATTTTAATCGACATTAAAAATCTAAAAACAATACTTTTAATTTAATATATCATAAATTATATGGTAGTATAAATAATAATTGTATTAAAATATATTAAACAGAAAAAAACAATGAAATGTAAAATTATGTTTTCAAGTGTAATGGGAACCAGGGAAGCGCGAGTGAAACCACCACCAGATTTCCCTTTCATATTCATATTCATATTCACCGCTGATTCGACCCTCTCCTTGCGAGTGCCCCCACGCTGCTTCCTTAACTTCCATTGCTAAAATCCTAAACCCCTTCACCAGTTTGCGGGGAAGATCTGTTCAGTGCGAAAAACACAATACAGAACAACAAGTTAAAGATTCTCACTCGAAGAGCAGCACAAGCCTGTTAAAGGTAGCTCTCTCTCTCTCTCTCTCTCTCTCTCTCTCTCTCTCTCTCTCGATTGTGTATTGCTCTTTTCTGTTCATGTCTGATCTCAAGTTTCCCATGTTTAATTTAATCTGGGTTTATTTGAATGTACCGCTTAGATTTGTTTCTTTCAGTTGTTTATCAGAAACTGTAACGTCGTACTGAGTAATTGGAGTTTTATTTTGGTGGGAACCCTTCAATTTTCGCCGGAGTTCGTTGATTGCCCTCATACTTTTTCCTTAATTGCTGTCTCGTCATTTTGAGAAGAGGGATCGATCCGTATTTGTTATTATTATTATTTTTTAATACCTTTTTCTAGTTCATATCAATGTTGTTTTAGCCTTTTGAAGGAATTGGGATGACGGCTGAGACCTTGATCGATTGAATCATCTGGTTAGTTCATTAAAAATGTAAAAATATTACGTACGGAGTAGAAGATGAGTTTTGGACCTCCTGATTTTATGATTTTTAGACTATGTACATCTACTTGTTTTTTGAATGTGGTGTACCTTCTTGACATTGAATCTTCCCTTGCCGAGTTTTAATCTGATTAATGTCTGTTAATCAATGATCATTTATTTTCTTCTCCACCTTGACTACTTGAACTGATCCCATTTGGTGGTCAATACCCTGTTTTCGTTATTGTTTGTCATTGTTTCCTGCTGCTTTGTTCTAGAGAGAGCCACATATTTTCTCTGAAAATCGCATTCTCAACCACATTGGATCATTGCTGCCTTATCAACCTCCCCTAACCATGTCTACCATTCAGATCTTTTCCTTAGTTCCGCATCGTTACATCTAGCTCTTAAGAGTTTAAAAGGTTGACCATATCATGTCATGTCTTTGTCCCTTTCGGATGCTCGACGTTCTGTGTGCTGTAATTACTGACTACTTGCTCAATATTTTCAGAAAGATGGGAGGCAGAGGAGTTATTGGTGATAAATGGTCCATGAGGGTTCTTTGGGTCTGTGCCCTCGGGAGTGCGATCGGTAATTACTTGTAATCTTACATCAATACATGCTAAGTAAAATTCTTTATCTTCATATAAGCTATACCAAATCTTCCCAACTTGCTAATATTTGTGAGTTGTCTAGGTTTGTATATGGTTTCTCAAGAAAGACAATTGCAGAACAGGCGAAGAATGTTGGCTGAGAGTCTGAAAGATGTGGAATCAGGAGGCAGTGGGGAAAATGTTTAGGCTTCTGAGGGAGTGGTCGAAATGTGAGCTCCGGACTATCAAGATTCTGTCGGTTGCAAATTGCTTCCATGCCTTCTGGTAGTCACAGATCAATAATGTGTGTTTCCAACAATGTGGAATAATTGAATCTGGATTTCATTTGAATTCATGGGATACAATTCATTATACTGAATTGGTGTTTAGTAGGCCATTTTGAGAAATGGGATTGAGTAACAGATGTTTCAAAAGTTCATTATTTCAAGAACACAATGTCCTTGCAACATGAACGTCCATCTTCTGCATAGCAGCAACATTTCCTACAGCCTGACATCACAATGGCCTAAACAATCAAACAAGCAATGTTTTTCGATACCGACACAAAAACTATCAACCACGACTTTGTTCACAACATAGAATAGTAGAGAAGGCAACCTATAGGCTTCTATAAGCTGGATTGAAACAACAGAAAGGTGGAAAACAAAACTATCTCGAAGCGGGATATGATCGAAAAAGACATCTACGAATCTCATTTGTAGGTACTCATGCCAATGTTGGCGTCTTTGTTATAAGATTGGAAGTTCTCTCGAGCCCTCGAGTAGCAGACGTAGTAAAACTGAGAAACAATGGAAGTGAAGAAAGTGAAAGCTGCTCCTGCAGCAAACACTCCTCTTCTCAACATTTGGCAAGAGGGAGGAGTATCAGTAAGCAGTGTTCTGTACTTGGTGTGGTATGCATTCCTAGCCGAACCGGCCAGCAAGCATATCTCGGCAATTAAGAAAAACACCCTGAAACAGATGCCAATATCATACCAGTGTGAAAACCGCCTTTTTCGACACAAGATTTGGATGTTGAAACAAGTCAGTGCACTTACCAGCAGGCTATGAAAAGAAGGAGGGCACAAGCCCTTGAACCACCGGGACTCAGAGGCTTACCACAGCAGAAGCAGCGGCTAGCCAGCATTATGAGGATCTGGCTAGCCATAAGGAAGAGAAATGCTCCAACTCCTAATCCAGTTGAAATGTCTGAGTCATACACACAGTAGTTTGTTTTTGCATCTGTGTCTTCAACTATCTTCGCCTGTAACAAAGAATGGATTTAGGTTTGTTTTTGAGAAGAAATTATGGAAGGAACAGCAAGAATTAGGGTTTAAGAAAAGCAATGAAAGTAGATCTGAATTCTTTTCCAGGTGAAAGAAAAGGGTTTGCTTTGTTTGGAAATGTGTTCAACCCAGAAGAGAAGACCAAGATTTAGCAGTAAAGGCAGAGGTTTTGACTAAAATACGCAAGGATGTAGAGAAAGAGTAAAGAAAAAGGGGATGAGCTTACAATGCTTCGCCTTTGCTCAGCTGCAATGGCTAAGCCAAAAGCGATGATATCAAAGAGAAAGACAGTGAAAAGAAGTAGCTTAGACGCCATTGTTGAGCAAGTTTCAGTTCAGAGCTTCGCAGATCTGTTTATCTCCGTTCTTCAACCCTTTTCCACTCAGCTATCTATCTATCTATCTATCTTTTAACCAAACAGAGGATTAAGGTATCTCAGATATGTGTTCTAAAATTCTATAAAAGAAAAAGAAAGAAAAGCAGGGGATAGAATATAAATGCCCAAATCAAGTGGAGATGAAATTTCTGTAGTAAATGTGTCGGCTACGCGGCTGGGGAGAGGGGAATGGAGAAATATTTTAATTTTCAAATTTTTTTTTAATAAATTAATTGCTGTTTGAATTTTATATAAAATGAAATCCTAAAATTTCAATTTTCTATTTATGAATTTTAAAAAATTCAAAAGTTAATAAATATAAATAAATCCATTGTATAATTCATTCACGTTTTTCAAATAGGTTGAAATGAAATTTGAATTAAAGTTCTTGTGGGTTACTGGGCTTTGAATTTTGAAATAAAATAATATTAAATACTGAAGTTGAATGCAAAAAGTAAAGCTAATTAAACCTAATCTTCTCTTTTTACTTAAATAAAACTACTTGATACGTATTGTTTTGAATTTCAGAATCTCAAATTTTAAAAATTTAAAATTTTCTTTTTTTCATGTTTAAAAAATGTAACCTTTATTTTATCACCATTTCCGAAACAATTTGAGTTCTTTGAAAAAAAAATAAAAATGAAAGTGAATTTTTGAAAATGTTGGTAAAATGCAAATAAGAAATGAAATTCATAGGTAAAAATATATTTAGAAGTCTAACTTTCCAAAATCAAAAGGTCAAAAGTCAACCAAACGTTATTTCTTGTTACTCTTCTCCAATCATATTTTTCCAAAATTAATATCTCCCTTTGATTTCAAGAATTTTTCAATGTTCCCCTCAGAACAAAAAAATAAATAAATAAATAAAATAATTTATGGTTTATTTAAAAGATAATAGAACCAAAGGAGTGTTACTTTTTATTTTTTACAATATTACATTAATTACAAATTAAACTTTGATTTAAGCATAGTTTAAGAGATAAATATATTAACTTCTTAATTGGTAAACAAACTCGGGTAAGAATTAAACAACTTTGAAACTCCATTGTAAGGGTAAGAATTACTAAATCACATATATATATATATATATATATATATATATATATATATACACATACATATTGTGTTTGTCTCTCCTCTTCCGTCCCCTCAATTGGGTTCCTTTTTCTTTCCCATTTCTCATCCAAACTTGGGACATGCCCATTGCCCACTCTTAAATCCTACTTACAATCAAACAAAAATAAAATTAAAATACTTACCAAAAGGGTCTTAAATCTGAGTATAATCAATATGTATTTCCATGTACCGATATAAATACGTATAATGCCATAGTCCTAGGTCTTAAAAATATATATAGATTTAAATCTTCACGAATTCATTTAAAATATAATAATAACATAGATCTCCCGTCAAAGTTTACCCATAAAGATATCTTAATCTATCTTAGCATAAAGACTATGATCCATGTGCATAAAACTAACTGTCAAGATATGATTCCACGGTCTCCTTAGTTGATGTTGTCATAAGTACATGGTGCCTTTAGGAGTGCGTATTATATCATGATGTACGCGTCTATAGTAACATACTACAGAAACAATATTCGAGACGTACAATATGCATGAGACCCTACACTTTAAAATTTAAATCATGACCGTAGTTATTATTTTGAATTTAATGATTAAGAAATGAAAAGGCTTTTGTTTAAGCATTAAGAAAATGACAGCCAAGTATTCAAACATATAGAGGCATTGTATTTTCCACATGTAAATTTCCTAATAAATATTAAAAAAAAAATAGAAAA